GGTCGCCCGGTTCCCCGCCCGGGCGCTCTCACCTTGCGGCGCTTGTCGGCGAAGGGCAGCGCCAGCCAGGGCATGGCCCGCACGGCCTCCTGCCACTGCTGCTGCTCCTGCTCCGCCGACACGAAGACGATCTCGAGCCGCTGCGCCCCGGCCCCGGCCGCCTCCCCCCTGAAGCGCCCGTAGAAGGCGGCCAGGCTGGCGCCGACCTGCGCGCAGGGGCCGCTCAGGCTGCAGCCGAAGTAGAGCCCGACCAGCGAGACCCCGCGGGAGGCCAGCGCCGCTACCGCCACCTCCTCCCCGTCCGGGGCCACCAGCACCTCGCCCAGCACCTCCGCCAGCGCGCCCGCCATGCCCCCAGCGCCGCCGGCCGCCTCCGCTCCGCCCGCACCGAGCGAGCCGCAGCCAGCGCCGGCGGAGCCGAGCCCTGCTCTGCGCCCGGCCTGCCCGGCAGGGGGCGCTGCCGCACAGCACGGCCCGCCGCCGCGGGACAGCCGAGACCGCGGCTCCCTGAGCCTGCAGGGGCTGCTGGCCGCCCGCCCCCGGAGCCTGGCGGTCACGGACCCCACAGCCCAACCCTGCAGCTGGAGAGCAAAGGCACCACCCCCCCGGGGGGGATCCCGCCAGCCCCGGCACCCCCAACCCGCCCCCGGGATCCTGCCAGCCACGGCTCCCGAAAACCCACCCCCTGATCCTGCCAGCCCCGGCACCCCCAACCCACCCCCTGATCCTGCAGCGGGAGAGCAAACGCAACCACCCCGGGGGGATCCTGCCAGCCACGGCTCCCCCAAACCCATCCCTGATCCTGCAGCTGGAGAGCAAAGGCACCCACCCCCCCGGGATCCCGCCAGCCCCGGCACCCCCAACCCACCCCCGGGATCCTGCCAGCCACAGCTCCCGCAAACCCACCCCTGATTCTGCAGCGGGAGTGCAAACCCACACCCCAGGATTCCGCCAGCCCCAGCACCCCCAACCCACCCCTGATCCTGCAGCTGGAGAGCAAACGCATCCACCCCGGGGGATCCTGCCAGCCACGACTCCCCCAAACCCACCCCTGATCCTGCAGCTGGAGAGCAAATGCACCGACCCTGCCAGACCTGTTGAAAGATGGTTAAGTTTAGGGCCTTGATCCTAAAGACACTTGGGCATGTGCTTAACTTCACTACAATTAGCAATCCCACTGAAACTACTCACACTAGTAAAATTAAGCGCGTACATATGTGTTTGCAGGATCAGGGCCCCGACTAAGTAATTTAGATGTTTATGTATATAAATTGTAGTCAGGAAAGAGCCAAACAACTAGGCAAACCCTCATGAATGCACATTTAAATTACCTGGAAGTTAACTCAGCCAGGTTACTCATTGTGTATTGTTCTCCCAGGGACAGGCAGCTTCAGTTTGGCCCCAAACTTAAATTGTGGGTTACCAATCTTTCACAAGGCCTAACAGCAATAGGAAATGTTTCCATAATTTCTTTATAAATTCCAATGAAAACATTTGATTTTTAAACAAATATTTCTCTCTTGCAGTGTTTCAAAAACAAACACTGTTGTACTAAGACTCTAAAAGTGAAACTTACGTAATTGAATTATATTGTCCATCTGGCAGAAATGCAAAATGGAAACAAAGCGTAAACAATGACATCCAAACTGGGCTTGAAAAATTACTTCTCTTGTAGTAATCCAAGGTCTGATCCTTGTAGTCAGATCCCTGGGCTTGCACAGAGCTCATTGCAGGACTGGTGAAAATTGACTTAAATGGGGCTGTGACATATTGCATCAGGGAAGAATCTTCCCCAAAATACTAACTAGAAACATCAGAGGGGTAGCCGTGTTAGTCTGAATCTGTAAAAAGCAACAGAGGGTCCTGTGGCACCTTTAAGACTAACAGAAGTATTGGGAGCATAAGCTTTCGTGGGTAAGAACCTCACTTCTTCAGATGCAACCTTCTGTTGCTTTTAACTAGAAACATAGATCAAGAAATAACCTGATTTGTCTTATTCCGCTCCCAGGGTTCCCTATTGCAAGGTGCCAAGCACTCTGGTCCCACCAGAAAAACCTCTAAGCATGACAATAGATCAATTGAATTAAATGGGATTACTCACACAAGTATATTTAAACAAGAGTGTCAGTATTTACAGGATTGGGTCCAAAATATGGCTTTTGGTGCCTAGTTTTAAACTCCCAATCCCAAATCTGAAAATGTTGGCCTATCCATATAATGTCTGTGTACAAGTATCTTCTCTGGACACACAAAGAGATATATAGATATATGTAGCTATACAGACTCAGATATAGGTGTATATTATACAGCACATCCCTTTCCATTTGTAAAAAGCACCTGAAAACAGTTTTAAATTCTGCCAGCTGCTGTAAAGGACACCCTTAATTTAATGATGCTTCATTTGGCTTTTCATCTGGATTTACAATTTTGTTGCTTTTTATTATATTTAAAATTGTTGTGCTGTATCCAGAACACCTCCGGGGATATTTTATAAATAACATTATTATTAATTATCATTACTATTATTACAGCATTACAATCTCTCTTTTCCTCTGCCAAGACCTGCTCCCCAGAGATGGTTCAAAGCAAGATATGTTTTGTCTTGTTTTTGTTTGTCCTGCCTTATTTAGCTAGTCAGGCTCTTCAAAGCAGGGAACATGGTTTTTAATGTACAGTCCTGATTCACAGACAAATCTGCAGTCCGATATAAGCTTTGTAAGAACAATAATATTTTTTCTCTCAGTCACAGTCAATTATTCAGCAAGTGAAGTTATGATGCTCTGCAAGAAATACAGAATGAATGAACAGCTGTTTCTGCTTTCTGTGCTTTAAGAATGAAAAAAGTTAAACAAAAACATAACTCTACTCACCTGAGTAAAATTATGCAAATGCATAAGGCCCTGATTCTGCAACGTGAATGGACCCTGTCCCCATACAGAGCTCATTGCAGGACCAGAATATATGTCACTAAACTATCATGACAGAAAGCGAGAGAAGAAACAGGGAGCCAGCCAAGGGCTTCTAATACACTTATTTCCTGTCTTTAAAGGGATGTGGCCAACTGACCAAATTATTATTTAAAAATTCCAGCCGACTTGAAATAGTTTGTCCTGAATTTTTCTTTAAAAATATTTGTACAGGTCTAATCATAATAGATCATTTCAACCAGCGTGAAATTGACTATTTACCTGAGTGTACAAGGGAGACAACAGAAACGGACTATACATAAAGTTCTGTCAAATGCAAACAAGGGAACAAACTGGGAAAAGAGAGGGAAATAATGTTTATCCCTAACTTCTTTCACTTCTATTAACCTGGGGTGTTGCCTGTAACTAGTGACGGTACAACAATTTCAGACACAAACATGAATTTCAAATAGATGGTGCTATGGCTGTAGTGATATAGTAAAAAAACAAACAAAAATTAGGTAAACAAAAAATTAGAACAGTTAATGATGCTCTAGTGACATCTAGTGGCTACAGGCAGCAATTAATTTGAGTTTACAGACCAAGCATTAAGGCAACCTGAAATGCAATACCAACAACCATTTTGGCAAAACACAGTGTCTCCTTAACACTCCCACTTGTGCCTAGAGACTGCACAGGCTTCGGCTCAGGCCTGGCCATACCATTTGTGAAGAGACAAGCTGCCAGAAAAGGGAAGGTGGGGTTGTGGAGAGCTAGGACAGGAAGGAGTAGCCACAGAGAAATAAGCAGAGAGGGGCAAAGGGGATGTGTTGGTGGCTGAGTAGCGGGAGAGGTCAGTAGGAAGGTAATGTGAAGAAATTAAACACAGATCTTATCAATATGTAAATATTTGTAAATGACTGTATGAGTATCTTACTATTACCGAAAGATCCAAACCAAAATCCCAGAGCCAAGCAACCTCGACCCTTTGGGAGATTAGGATCTGGAGAAAGTAAAACAAAGATTTATGCCTGTCAATTTATCCAAATTAAATTGAGGGGGATCAATGGCCTCAAAAGGAGGCCAGACTGGAGAAGAAACTAAGATAGCCAAAAACCAGGGAAATGTTCAGGTTGTTTGTTTTTGGATTTGGGTTTTTTTGGTAGCAGTGACTAAATCACCATGATGCCATAGATTAAAAGCAGATGCATAAGAGAATTTACCATGGAACTTAAAGAAAAGAAAACCACTGTGCTGGACCTGATTTTCAAAAAGGCAGAAGTCCAGGGTCATGTGGAGAAAATATGTATGCAAATACAAGCCTAATTTTCATACAAAATGCATAAATGGATATTAGAGCAAGTAGGTGTTCAGTATCATGAGCAATTCACAGGGATTGCAGGTGCACGTTAGGTGAGAAATTGGCCCTAAGCTTCTACCCTTTTGAATATCAAGCTCAATGTTCTTTTCCCTCCTTTTCCTTTAGTCTTCCTATTTCCTACTTTTCCTCCCATATCCTGCTGCATCTTGTTTTCCTTGTTGTTCTCCTTCAAACTATTTTTCATCCTTTGTGTCTCCATTACTAGGTCCTCTGAAATCCTTTCTTCCAGATGTCCTTATTTTGTGATTCAAGTTTTTCTCCCTATCCATCTATTATTACCTCCAGGGTACATCTTCACTGGTGATGGGGATCACAGCACTGTTGCAAGTGACAAGAACCTTTTGGAGAATAAGCAGGTAACAATCAGAGGTTGTCTCCATCCCGTGTGGGTGAGCTGGTAGGTTGCAAGTAGGTTTTGATTTTTTTCATGCAGCTGGGCAGCTGTTAGTCCCTGCTCCAACTTCTGTGTGATGGCTGCACCAGCATTTCAAAGGCGACTTGCTTGTAGTATTGCTGGAGGTGTTTTTTGCCCAAGACCCTGGGAACAGGAGGCAGCAGTGAAGCAGTTAAAAGCTTAGGTCTTGAGGAACAGCACAAGCTGCAGGACGAGCCTAGGGGTGTGTATACATGGGGAAATTGACTGGAACAGCTGTTGTGAAATAAGCTATTCTGCAATAAAAATCATTTTGTTTTGGAATAATGTGCCCTCATCATTCCGAATTAAAGCGACTTTTATTCCAGAACAGAGTGTCCACACAGGAAGCTATTCTGGAATCGCTACTGAGGAATAGCTTATTCTGCAATAACTATTCCAGTCAATTTCCCTGTATAGACAAGCCCTACATCTGTGGATTCACTGCACCCGCTGACAACTAACACCTCTGATCATGCGACTCTTTGTTGCTTAAATAAAAACGAATTTGATTCCAAAAGACTCTTTAGTTTTTAATTTTGTGTTACCCCCAGCTCAGAACTGCAAAAGCCCACCATAAAGGAGAGTCGATTTTCCATGGCATCTGGACATCAGACAGCAACAGGGCCTCTTCCAAGAAAGGGACACTCTTCAAACAGTTAAGCCTTTGACATAAACCTATTGTATTCTGACACTTCTCTCATTTGGTAGCTCTTAATCTTACGGGTTCCAGACATGGTACATTTGTGTTTTTTATTTTTATAACTGGATCTTGGCTGCAGTTCAGAATACGGATGTGCATGCGCCTGGGGGGAAGCCTTGAAAAGTCATATACCAAACCTGCAGACAAAGGGACAAGTTCTGTTCTCTGACATAGTAGAAATGGGAGTAACCATATTGATTTCAATGCCATTATTCTGTATTTTTGCCAGGGGAACTGAGAACAGAACTGGGCACCAGATGCTAAAATCAGCGCTAAAAGGGCAGAGCATCTGCATGCTCCAATTGGCTTACAGCTAGTCATACATTACCTCTTTTCAATAGGGATCCATCAAAACAAAAGGTTTCAAAATACTGGCCAAATTCACTGCAGTCTGAGGTGTAAACCTACCGAAGACAATGATGTTACACTATGGGATAATGTGACCCACTACTTTTTTTTTCCTAACTGGTGGTGCAACATCGATAAAATCACTACTCACCTAGCAACCTGCTGTCACAATTCAGGGCTAGCAGCACCTTTCAGCCCTCGCAGTCTCTGAGTGCAACCCCTCCAGGTGACAGATCACAAGCTTTTACCTCTCTGGGGTGGGATTCTTCCTCAACTCTTCAGATTGGGACCCTGTTTACCAACCGTGATTAGTGGATTCAGCTGCCCTTTCAGGGCTGTGACCAGTGCGTGAACACAGTGACATAAAACAGCCTTTCCAAAATCAAAGCATTGTTTAATCTCAACAGTAGGCACAAAGCATAACAAGAAGAGGGTTTTCAACACAACGAACAGTCTACACACATCTGTCTCACCTAAAGCTTAGGTAGGCCTACCTTATCCCAGGCATGCACTGCTGGGGTTGGGGGACAGTCTGTCTCTGTGACTGTCTCCTCAGAGCTCAGACTTTTACTCACTCCAATATTTTTTGTTCCAGTTTTCCCACTGGGATTCCCCCCTCCTCAGTACCCACCCAGGGGTGGAGAACCCAACATGGTCGAAGGTAAAGGGAGTGACACACCTGTTTTACTATTGCCAGTGGCGTTATCTGAAATGTATGGTCTCCCTTCCTGTGCACATGCAAGACAGCTTCTGCTGGAATTAACCCTTGGTTATCACATAGCTAGCCAACAACATAACAATCAGACTAACAGATGGAATATTAATAGTTGGTTACAGGCAACTTCCACATCCTTGACACCAGCCAACAGTCTCTGAGTGTTGAGTTTCTTAAAATTCCTTCATGCACATCAAACTGTCCTCCTCTGCTGGTCATTTTTCTGAGCAGGGAGCAGATTGAAATTTACAAAGACTCACTCCCTGGACTCTATCTTAAGGTGGGGGGTGATGGGTGAGATCCTAGGCAGACCCTCAATAAAACATGCTGGGTTTTCCCTTTCTATCAAAGGACTGGGATGACGTGTGTTTCTTCCATCTCTTCAGTCCACTGCCTTCCCTAATAGGCTATGGCGAAGATTTTCACGCCCGAGTACTTAGAGTTAGACACCTAATTTCCTTTTTAGCCTGATTTTCAAAGGCAGTGAGCAACTGTATCTGCAATTGACTTCAGTGGGAGCTGAATCAGCCATTACTCATCTGCCTAAATATTTATTAATTTAGGAACCTGACTTAGATCCAGGCATTTGAAAATGTTGTCCTGACTTTCCTCCTTGTCAAAGACATTCCCCCACCTATGAGAGGCCAGCCCTGACAGGTGACAAGCATCTGCAGCTCCCTTAAGGAAGGGAAAACTGTCACTAACTGTGTAAAGTACAGTGCTAAACACAGGCCCAAGCTTGTTTCCGTTTACGCCAATGGCAAAGGTCCCACGGATTTAGTGGGAACAGGACTGTGCTCTACATTTGTAAACAACAGCTCATTATGCTTTCCCCCTCTTTCGGAACCTAACAAAAGAGTTTGGGGGATTGGAAAAGAAAACCCTTTGGAGTACACCATGAAGAACCATCTTTTTGTTCTGTGTTTGTACAGTGCCTTGCACAATGGGGTCCTGGTCCGTGACTAGGGCTTCAAGGTAATACAAATAATAAATAATAACCAATTTAACCACAATTTGCAGGTGCTGAGGGGATAGGGGTCTCTCTAGGGTTGGGGTGCAGTGACAGCCAGGGGGACGGGGGTCTCTCTGGGGTTGGGGTGGAGTGACAGCCGAGGGGGACGGGGGTCTCCCTGGGGTTGGGGTGCAGTGACAGCCAGGGGGACGGGGGTATCTCTG